GGATCCACAATTCTAACCCAAAAGCTTAAGCGCTGATAGGTAGGGCTTCACCGTTCTATATATGCTAGTGATACTCATCTTTATTTTCCGATGTGGGAACTCCAACACTCCCCCGCAAGTGGTAACTAGCATAGCCTAGTTAGCACTTGGACAAACGGGTCTAGCATCTCAATCTCTTATAGCTAGCCCACACAACGGGCGGTGGCATCTCAATCTCTTTTTAGCCAACTCAGCCCAAACCATAGACGGGGTAGCTCAATTTTGCTAAACCCACCTCCAAACAACCAGGAACAATCAAACCCGGACCGGACCTGCTCTGATACCATGTTAAAATTCCGATGGGCCGAGAACAACGGATAGAGTGTCGGGTAAAATTAACCACTTGCATATAAAGTCGGGATCCACAATTCTAACCAAAAAACTTAAGGTGATAGGTAGGGCTTCACCGTTCTATATATGCTAGTGATACTCATCTTTATTTTCCGATGTGGGAACTCCAACAATACAGGAATCTAGACCTGGCAAAAAGTGACCCGACCTATTTTTGACCCGAAACCCGACCTGAAAACACTGGGTTTTGAACAAAGGTTTTGATGACCGAACCCGAAGTTGACCGAACCCGAAATGACCCGCTAAAAATGGGTCAAACCCGACCGAACCCGAACCCGACCTGACCGACCCGCTAAAGTAAGAATTTTTCAAAATTATACACTTTTTTACTCATTTTTAGTGTATAAATTTATATTTTCAGACAAAATTTTAATGATATTGCATAATTATCTTACTTTTTTTCCAAAACATAAGCATTTTTAAATTCCTTATATTGATTTATATATCGAAAAACTACCTTAGAGTTTAAAATAAAATAATTTTATAGATTTAATATTTTTTTTTTGATATTTTAAATTTATTAATGTGAATTTAAAAAATTACAAAACCAAAGTTATAACCCGTTGGGTCGACCCGAACCCGATGACACTGGGTCATGAACATAGAATTCTCAACCCGAACCCGAACTTGAAGTGACCGAACCCGAACCCGACCTGACCGACCGATTTGCCAGCTCTACAGGAATCTATTAAGCACTTGGAATAACTCAAAGACTTGGAGAACACTTATATATATATATATATATATATATATATATATATATATATATATATATATATATATATATATATATATGGACTTTGTAAGCACTTTACCCAACAACAAAATAAATTATAGTCTAAAACTTTAGTTGAGATTATAATTTTGCGGTTTTGTGCTCTAATATACTACTCTCCCTATTAACTATATGTCTATATGAACACAAATACTCTTTTTTTATAGATTGAGTAAATTTTCTTAATTTCAATTCACTGAATCATATCATTACTTTTGTAAAATCCAAATCCGTTGCAGTTTGGATGTTGCATGCCACCAGCAGAATGTGGATTCAATTTTGTAAGCCCCACGACTTGGACTTCTCCAACAAACAGTACTCAAACGAACAATTTCACAAATGCTGATTGTGCGATTTGGAGCAATGAGCCAACTAAATTATGTTACTCTTGTAATTCGTGCAAAGCGGGATCACTGGCAATCATTAGAAAGAATCTCAGCAACACAAATATAGTTTTGGTTGTTATGGCCCTCGTGTGCTTTATACTTCATGTGGGTAGCTCTCTCCTACTTTGCCTAAACATCAGGTGAACCATTTTTTTGGGGGAAAAAAAAAAGAGCAACAAATTGGCTGGACACAATTGATCAACTATATATGCTTTTGTATTATGAAAGTTTCTCCGGTGCCTTACAAATTAGAGGGTGCCCCTTGAATAAATTCCTACCATGTGAAACTAGAGCCTTGTGTATTAGTATAATGCTCCACATCATATTCACAATTTGCATGCATATTGACCCTTGCCTTTTGCATGCGTTTACCCTTCTATCCCATTATTGCATTTGCTGCCCGGCCTTTCGTATCCTTTGTTTTTATTTTGTTAAGGCTCGAATCAAAGCAGATCTCAATATTAGAAAAAATTAGAATGAGTTAAAAAGAATTGAAAGAAATTTAAAAAATAAAAATAATTAGAAAACTTGAAATGAGTTCGATGAAACATGAAAAAGATGGAATAAACCAGAAAGGGTTGAATTATTACTATTATTATTATTATTATTATTTATCATCATCTCAATAATAGCACAATGCTAGGGGTACACCAACATGGGGTACCCCAAGTGTACACCAAGCCAGAGGCGGATCCAGGATTTTTCGACCATGGGGTCCTAAATTTTCTTACCTTTGAGTTTTTACCTTGAGCTAATTCATACTTCGTATCTTTTAGAAATGAACTCAAAAAATATTTTCTATTTAAATCAATGTTTAAACCCTAAGCAGCAAAGCATCAGCCTGGCTGCCAAGTTGCGAGTTTTCTGTGTCAACTTGAATTTCTAGGGTTTTTCCAGGGATAGCCAAAACTGATTGAGAGTCCGGTTTCCAGATTGACCTGCCCACCCCCCCTCCCCCTCGATTTTTTTCAATTTTAGTGACCTGGATATACATAGTATCATAATTATTACTAGTATTTTACAAAGGCATTTTACAATTGCTCAAACCAAGAATAAAAAAAATATGCTTCTTTCCACTAATTAGATTAGAAAGAAATTTAATGTATTAAGGTTTGTAAACATTTTTTTTATAGATAACTATGAAAAATCTTATATTTTTAATACTCAGATGAACATCGAATATTTTCTTTCTTAAGAGA